GAACTGTGATGAAACATTTTATTTTATTTTATTTATTTTGCCTTTATTTTTGAGTGAGCGGGGTTTCAGCCAAGGCTGCTCTACCAACCCCACCCACTATACATTTAAAAATATCCATGCCCGAACCCGGATTCGAACCAGGGACCCTTAGCACCACAGTCCAGTGAAAAACAAACTTCGTCCTTCATGGGACGCCACTGCGCCACACGGGCAACAACAATACAGATTTATTTTGGAATACATTTCCGGGCTTCTCCGGCATATTATCGCTTAAATAAGCACTGCATCAGACATGTTCCGCATTGAAATTTATAATACAACATTTTGACGTGACGTTTCCGATCGGTGACGTGACGTTGAGGTTCCGTAAAGTGCGAATCGACCTTTAGTGGCAGCGCTCTTTATAAAAATGAAACATCACATATTCGGAATTGTTTATCGTGAATATCGCACCATTGAATAATAATTCAGATTTATTATTCAATGATCGCACTAAATGGACATTTTTGCAATGGCGACATCTGAATTAATCTATCAAACTTCAAATTTACCAGTTGGGATTTGTAAATCAGTCACTTTTTAGATTGCCCAGTCAAACATCTCGATTTACTGCTTATTGTATTACGTATAAATTATAAAAGACGTGTCCATAGGAGTATTCATAATACAAATGTTAGGAAACATTTCAAGTGTCACGTTTGTGACACCTATACGCCACAGACAATGAAACGCTGAGATGTTAGGAGGCGGCACATGAGAGCGTAAGAAAGCGAAAGCAAATTTGAGATGCGACAGCCATAGTTCGTGAAAGTGAATTACTAATGTAGTGGTTGACGATTGGCAGTTGTAAGATATGGAGAATGTTGCACATCCGCCGGTTGCTATGGAAAAGAGGTCTTTTAATACACAAGGTTTCCTTTTGAGCCAATGTTTATTTGAAAATGTTACCTTTTCTTTGCTTTTTAATAATTTACAATTTTTTAGTGTTGAAATAGTATATTAAAGTACAAGTGTCATTTGACGAAGATTGTCGCACGAGGTAGTTTGCCGCATAAGCCGCGTAGCGGCGAATGCGGCAAAAGCCGAGTGCGACAAGTAGATAAATGACACGTGTGCTTTATACTATTTTTTCTATTTCGACTTTTATTTTAAATAATAAATTATACAAATTATAAATATTGCCTTTAGGCGTTGTTAGGTAATTTTAAACTGTCATTCAGTGTATGTTGGTAATAGACTCAGTTCATTTATTTTCACGTTGGCTAACCTGATTCCTGTATTTTCAAACTTCAAACTTTTAATTATTTGGTCATAATTCCATTTTGCGGCAGTTATGATGAATACGGATGACAAACACGTCTCTTGTACCCCATCAGAGACCCAAGAGATTGCCAATGAAGCGACGTTAAATTTACTGCCTGTAAAATCGAAAGTAAAGTAAGAGGAGGAAAATTTTTGAAAACTGGCTGGTCGAGAAGGGAGTTCAAAAAGTAAGCAAGAATGTACTGCTGGCATATTTTACTACGCTAAGTAAAAATAAAAAAAGTTCTACACTTTGGAGTATACAGGGTGTCCCTAAAAGGTCTGTACAACGCGCTACCATGGGTTCTTTGTATCAAAATAGGACGATTTAACCCAACTTACCTCTATCCAAAAGTGCTTCGGTAAGGCGCTATCTACCGCCAAAGATTTAAAAAAAAAATCATTATTTTTACTTTATCGGAGAATGGTTTTGCCGATTAAAATGAAATTCGGGATGTGAATGTCTAATGTAAAAAGGGTCTTTGTGATATCATCGTTTTGATTGAAGTTGCTATGTAGGTGGTAAAATACTGACCATCCACATCTGAAGAGGTCTAAAACTTTTTAACTACTATTTTGACGGTTCTGAATGTTTAGACACTGATAGACAGTTTACTTGCAAGCATTTTTTGTCTCTTGATGAATATCGCTATCTGTGATGGTTTACGAAAAAAAAAAAATTTAGGCATGATGAATGGCATGCACCATACATGCGATTGTTACTCAAAAAATCAGAAGATGGCTGTGAAACCTTAGAGTGGCGTAACGTTTCTTTGTTGTTTCTTAAACTTGAACAATTTACGTTTTGCTTGAAGACTTAAAATTTCATTGTTAAAATTGTAATATGGCCTTTCAATACAGTAACGCAGAGTTAACTGATATGCTATTAGTGTTTGGATACTGTCGTGGAAATGGTCGCCAATGCGTTAGGGAGTATACTCACAGGTTTCCAAATCGTCATAGCATAGCCTACTTCTTGCTTGCACTTATGGTTTTTGAGGAACAATCGCATGTATGGTGCATGCCATTCATCATGCATAAATTTTTTTTTTTTCGTAAACCATCACAGATAGCGATATTCATCAAGAGACAAAAAATGCTTGCAAGTAAACTGTCTATCAGTGTCTAAAAATTCAGAACTGTCAAAATAGTAGTTAAAAAGTTTTAGACCTCTTCAGATGTGGATGGTCAGTATTTACCACCTACATAGCAACTACAATCAAAACGATGATATCACAAAGACCCTTTTTACATTAGACATTCACATCCCGAATTTCATTTTAATCGGCAAAACCATTTTCCGATAAAATAAAAATAACGATTTTTTTTTTTAAATCTTTGGCGGTAGATAGCGCCTTACCGAAGCACTTTTGGATAGAGGTAAGTTGGGTTAAATCGTCCTATTTTGATACCAAGAACCCATGGTAGCGCGTTGTACAGACCTTTTAGGGGCACCCTGTATATTCAAAATTAATCGGAATTAATACAATCGGTCAAGTTCCTCGTACGCTATTTACACTTTACAGGTTATGTTTAGTTTTGATTTGACGGATACCGTTGACGGCAAAAAAGCGAGGGGTACCAATCCAACAAAATAAAAAAAATAATACGTTTCTATTTCTTTCAGCATCATTTCTGTCTAGAAACGAACGCAAACTGGGCCAATCAAGTACGGTTTCGGTATTGTTTCCACATCGAAATAGAAAAACACATATACGATGCTACTTTCTAAGTTTATATGTAACGAAATAGGTATATGATACGCTCGAATGTTAAAAGGCACGATACCTCGAAAACGAGTGAACCGATTACAATGAAATTTTGCGGATGGGTTCTTTATCAAATTGGTAGATCGGAGTTCGTGAACTGGCAATGTAGGCCAAAAATAAGGAAGGCCCTTTTGACATCTCCGTTAGTTATGAACCAAATTTTAAGCCATACATTCACCAAGATTTTAGGCCTATATATTCCAAAATTCACATTTATGCAATAGTTCTGGTGGGAAAACGACCGAACTAATTTCCTGGATGCCCAAGAGGTAACTCGTATGTTTTCTCAACTTCAATACGGTCTCCGCCGTGACCTTGAAACCTGTGAGTGCCCGTAACGGAGCGTCGCAAATGGGTCCCGACAAAGGGAAAGTGAGAGGTCTCGAGGAGAACTTTCTGTTTGTATACTCAAAACCTCCACCTGCACATTCTCCGAAACGGAAAGGCCGAACAGGTACCGACAGCGGAGCTTGATTTACAGGCTTGGCATATGTCGTGTCACATAATATCCTAAGACGTACAAACTTATATTGCAGTAAAACGAATTACATTCAGCTGATGATCCACATGACGATATACCACTGAATACTTTACAACAAAAGATGGAGAAACGAAACTTATGATATGCGTAGAATCGTAAAGGGTACAATTCACTGCTTCAGGAAGCAGCACCTGTCGAGTATGAATTCGAAGATGTTGGAGTGTGCAATGGAGATTTAAATCAGGGAAACAATATCATTGGAAGAAGAATCAGACAGTAATGAAGAAGAAGTAAACTGGGCTCTAATGGTGAAAATGGCACATGGTACAGTTATCAAAGCATTAGGTACCACAGTAAAGTGGTCAACATAAAATGCAATTTACATTAGCAACTTAATGGTTTTAAAAAAAGATCCATGAACAGCCTGTAATGACGAACAACGACCAAAGTAGTCTCATGTTCAAATCACGATTAATTTTGTTGGATTCTTGCCCAAAGTTCATTTTGAGTAATATTTGTTAAAATGTAGTACAAGTCTGTTTGGAGTTCGAGGAATTTGAACTTGCCCACTGTCTGATAGGATCTGTGCCAGCGAAAATTATAATTGAAGAGCTAGTTAGGTTAGTAGTGTTTTGTGTGTAGTCCTTATTGGCCTGGGAAACGCCTGGGATCATTGCACACGGCAATATTGATCAAATATTTTGTCGCTCCAGCTGTTAAAAAAACAATGTACTATAAATAGACCAACAATTGAATAGAAATAAAAAGTGTACTATTTGCGGAAATCTGATTTTCTTAATGTTGGACCTTAAATAATTTTTATGGAGCCATTTTGATACGCTATAGTAAAGTAGTAATTAGTATACAACAATTCAGCTCGTTGACAATAATTACATTCATTTCTTAATTGACATTATTTATACACCAAATTCACAATAGAATAGGCAACTATCCCTCTTATTGATGGCGTTTTGGAAGTAGATACACATTGCATTCCAAAACAGGCAACCATTTTGTACCAGCAGACGTTTTTCTAGTTATGTTTACCTATGGCACATATGGCCTACTAAGAATTAGCAAAACCCAATGTTGGTCAACTGGTAATACGCATCTGGATCCTAAGACATGAATTAATATATTCCACAATCAAGATTCAGGTTTCTTAACAATTATGTAAACATTGGTTTAGATTTCCAGCGACTTTTGCACTCGTACAAATTCGCCCTTTTTTGTTTAGATACACGAACATTAGCGATGATCCTCATTTCCTAGCAGCTACATATTTTAAATTACTATATACCAACTTATAGTCCATATTTCGGTACCTAATCCGATTTGTGAAGTCAGGTGTAGAGGGAAAAATCTTAAAAATCCACATATCTTTTTTATCGACTAGTTTATTTTTCCCAATAATTAATGTATTTAGAAAATATATATGTACCTATCTATTTTTTAAGCACTACGTATTATCTACAAGTTGTTTAAAGAAACCGAACAAAGTGCATGGCATCTGTTTCAATTGACAAAAGGGTAAATAGTATCCTCATTGCGTGTACGAATCATAGAACATATCAATTTCAAACTTAGATAATACACCAATTCCACCAGACTTAAAATGCTACACCCCAGAAAAAGTCCTAAAAAACCGCCAGTGTTCGCTAAAAGAATAAGAATTAGTATTTTAGCCAAATTGAGCTATACTTACACAGAAACTCTGAGAAACCATAAATTTCTTTTCTAATATATTTTTTTAACATTATTGACGGATAGTAAAGATGAAGCACTGCGCCGTTTTCGCTAAATAAATTATAAAATTACGTATAATCTATAATGAATTACTATAGTGCCGAATGATATATCCTTACATAAAATAATCTATGGGCACATCTCCACTGATGTTTTCTGCAGTATCTTTACGTAATAATCCGTAATGACAAACTGCGCCGTAAGATATTTCAAAACACCCCGATAAACAATCACACATCTCTCTGTAAAATAGAAATTATTATTTTAAAGAAGAAGAGTAAATGTTCAAGTTGAACTCCCAAACTTTTTAACTGCCAATGTCTTACTGATTGGTCCCATCCTCTAAAAGAGAATCATTTAATATGTACGTAAATGCTGAAAACCTACCCCTGGTCTTCGATACGCAGTCCATATCACTTGGCTCACAAATTCTGGTTTTGGAATTTTCTGCACACGAATAAGCAATTAACATGAATGAAAGCACACGAAGTCATCTTACTTGGAAGGAAGTATGGTGTACAGTCGCATTTTAGAAGTGTCCGATTTGATCTACATTCCGTTATACAATTTCGTCGGCTATACATCCTACATGCATGCATGTAATTGAGAGAAATTGGATGAACAGTAAGTAAAGAAAATATGATCGAATAATTAATATTTATGAACGATGCTGTGCTGGTTTATGAACTATGCCGTTAAGTCTTAAATTTTTCCGTTGTAAATTATTAATTTTACTGTATAATATAGATTGCCAACTGTAGCTTACAAATTGATTGAATGAATTTTAATTTAATTAAAATCTTACGCAAGAAGCGGATCATAAATTAATATGATACTGCCTTGTTAGGTTTATAATAAATTCAACAAATATCGTCTGTTTATCAGTAGATGTATAGTATTTTACATTATTAGCCAGGTAAGTGAGTTTTTACTGGCGATAGGAGAAGTTGACTGGCGAGCCGTTAGGCGAGCCTGTCATCTCCTAGAGCCAGTAAAAACTATTACCTGGCGTATAATGTACAATATTTTATTTGTTACTCATTTGTAAACGTAAATAATTAGTTTTTAAATTGATCTTGAAGAAATGTCTAAAATATCATGTGATCCATGTAACAGAGACTTCACATTAATTCTGGCCAATGAAATTACTAGATTACTAACTTGTAAAATTTTTACAGGTCTGCTGTCAGTTTTACAAGTCTGCTGTCAGTTTTACAAGTCAGTAGCGTTTAAACATGACGTTTACCCGTTTGCGTTTTGTCTTGTTAATCAACGTTTACAACTGAGTAACAAATAAAAGTATTTACCGCAAATGTAGGTATTAGATGCTAACATGCGTGCTGAACAAATTCATATTCACAAATCAATTGACAATCACCTGAAAAATCTTAAATATCTCTCACTGTTAAAGTAGCAGAGGCGGTTTCCAAACGGTATGGAACGAGTATCTTTGTCAGTTTCTTTCACGAAAGCTTCAATCTCCATCCAAGTCTCGCGTTGAAGAGGTATTTGCCTTGAATACCCTACCAATTCTAAAGGGTTGTTAAGTATAACCTTTAAACGTGCGAAAACATGTAAAGCGCACTTGGTGTTATTCTCATTTCACCTTAAATCCAGAACTTTTACGAAATCCACAGTAATATTCACTTAGATTTGCATTGAGTATCAAGCTCAGACCAAAAAAAACACCGGCACCCTCAGACCTCCACGGTATGCTTTCAAGGATGGGGTTTCTAGAGAATCCACGTTCTTGATCCCACTCCTCGACTATTATAGGGTAGGTGTACTTTAATCTGTCACTGTTGGATCTGTGCAAGAAAAAGTAATTGGTAAACTACGATGAACTTGTATGTACTGCCATGTTTCCCTGGACAGAGTTAAAATTACCAGAGCGATAAGCTGTTGTTTTCCACAACCACGATTGCTACACTAACAGGTACTGGGAGCAAAAATTTATTGGATAATTCATGTTCACACACACACACACACCCTCACCCTCTCACACGCACCCTCACGCACACACAAAACTGAAGTTACATCCAACAATCAATTAAAAAAAACGACATAATGAAATACGTTTTGATTTAAATGACATTACGAAAAGTATCACTTTTTCACGAGTTGGTAGGTACCTCTGGGTTCCAACATCAACCAAGTTTCGTTTTTAAAACTGATGTAATCGTCCTCGTCCATAAAGTCGAATCTTATTTGGCCTATGAGAATTTCGTAACAAAAAGTACACGCAGAAGTCGGAACAAACGAGAAAAATAATATCAAAATCCACCGGTAACTGAACTAAACTTTGTCTTCAGTTCAGATCATTAAAAACAAATGCTCTGACTTCAGAAAAATAACACACTACCTGTATCGCAATATGTAGCTGCTGGGCATTAAATTAAAGGTGCAACAAAGTCCTTCTTGTGTTATTGTGGGATTCATCCATTTTTTACAATCAATTTCTTCAGATTTCCAAAAACACCGCATTACCATATCGGAACATGAATGACCAATCTACAATATACGTGTATAATTTTGAAGTTACGAAGAGTTTATACCTGCGAGAAGAAGTGATTTATATCAACCGATGGGAAACTTCCCGTAGTAGCGTTTGCTGCAGTTATACTTACAAAGTTTGAGCGACAGAAATCTTTCAACATATCTTTTGTTATCGAATGACTGAAAACTTATAATTGCAATAGTATTTATTAACCCATATGTTTTTACTTGGTTTCATTTAGCATTCTGTGGGCTGCTGAACGTTTTACTCTGTTCACATTGCACACTGTGACAGTTGGAAAGGGAATGTCTGATACGAACACTGGCGTGGGGTTTTCAGTGATCGTAACTGGCACTTGCCTAATATATATTAGACTGACCCAATAACCGGCAAAAGATGCTGCGCCGATAAAACACAATAACCAACAGAATCTGAAATGTTGTTTTGTTATAGTTTTGTTAATGTGTTTCCAATTTTGTGGGGATAGAGAAGGTAATGTTTTCTTATGGCCCTAACCTAACCTAAGACTACATTAGAATACTTTTCTTCACACTCTTAATTCCCTTGATGTTTCCCGTCTCGGGAAATAATACATCTGGGAATTTGAATTTATAATTACTTTCCTTGTGTACGAATGAATAATAAAATATGATAATAATGATTATAAATCAATAACGATTGAAAAGTATTTTAACACTATATTGTATTACTATTAAACTACAAGCTACCAACATTAAACAAAGTAGTAAAAATGTGTACCTTTCCGCAAACGATAGTGTAGAATCTCCAACATAACTCAATCCATGCAATGAGGAGTTTCTTAGGTAGTCGTCAATATATTGCCAACATTTTCTTGAAAAACTCATTACTTTGATATTACGTGTACACGCTACCTACGCTTCCTTTGGGAATAGTCAAATCTAATTGAATACGCAACAATAAACCTACCCGCTTTATACACTCCTCCTCTTACACAAATTCGTATTTTAGTAATTGAAATTGAAGAAATTGTATACACCAATAGAGTTAATATTGAATCCATTAATAAACTCACCGTATGGATGTATTTAATTACAAATTCAGGAATTAAGATTGATGTAGGTGGTGGTTTGTTAAGGCTACCTGAATTATTTATGACAGAACATCACACGATTTCAAATATCCTAATTGGAAATTGATAAAGCACCGAAGTTCGGCATGATTGAGTAGCTTCGCTTGTACGAAATATCGGGTGAGCGATAATTACCTACACGAAAAAACATGTTGTAATAGTTATTAGGATACAAATACTTACACTTAATTTCTTTATTACCTACATCCATCACCATCAATCAATGAGTTGTATACTTAGGAAACAATCCCATTAATCGCTAGCCAGTGGTCGAATTTCGAACATACGATGCTCGATTCCCCTTAATATGTTTTATTGCAATATTGTCGGTAGGTATCTTAATTCATAGTAGTGAGGTGTATGAAGAACCAATCCTGCCTCAGGTACTGCCGTACGATATTAAATCCGTCATTACGCGGTCAATGGCATAATCCCTCTACATACCCAAAATGTTATGGTCATAGGCAAAATCTACATATATTACAAATTACATCATGGTCAGAGTAGAAGCGTTGATTGATTGTGTATTTATGAATCAACGGTAGAAGGCAAAAACGTCTTGCTATGAGCGAATAGTATGAAAGATTTTTTAAAGGGATACCGAACAACTATTGCTTTGAATTGGATTCGAGAAAAATGCGAAAGGCCTCGCATCTCTTTTTTCCGATTCTTCGTACAGTTTTCGTACAACCTATTAGAGGTGTTTTGACTAGAAAAATCCTGAACGTATTGTTTCGATGGCCAATGAACTAATTTCATGAATTTTTGAGAACCATGATCGATTCCAAAGTCTGGTATCTATTCAACAGAATTTGATCAATCGGATCAACGTTGATGGTGATAAAACGGTAATATTCAAATTTTCGGCTTCGAAAGTCTTTGGGATCACTGTTACGTGCATTAAAAAACCATCAAATTTTCTGATTTTTTCTTGTTCTCAACAAGAATGTGATAACAATTTGGCCTTGGTCGGACAAATAGATTTGCAAAATCTTTAAAATAAAGGATATTTGAGAGTTCTCTTTAGTTTTCGTCAATGTTGACATATTATTACACGATCCAAGGTAATCGTTGCGTTCAGTAGTCGATATGTCGCTTACCGGCGGAATGCGTAGTTCTGAGTCATCGCGTGGGAATTTCAAAAATTAGAGCTGCATTCACATACGCGATACAGAATTTTTCATCAGCGATCTTCTAATCCACCCTTGCGAACAATTAAGAGCAGGGTATTCAGTACTTCTAGATGTAGGGCTTCTGGGGATATAAATTGAGGTTGACAAACATTTTTCGAAAATGTCATACTTTTTAAAGTATCTAGCAGGTATCCGAAGAACTTTCGGGGTCAAAAACTCAATTATTACTATAGCAGCCGGATATCGGATTTATGGCTCAGTGGTAGAGCATTGGGTTATAAATCCGGAGGTCTGGTGTTCGAACTTGGGTTGAGGTGAATTTTTCATCTGTGGCGGAGATGGAAATTACCTTAGACCAGTTCCGAGCATTCTACCGGCTACTCCGAATTAGGTTTTCCTGCAGTTTTCCTAATTCGTAAGGTAAATACCGGAGTAGTATGGACCATCTTAAGACCTTCTGCAGAGGCACTTCTAAATAGCATTATGCGGGTCACTCTGTAATTGGGCGCATGCCTGTTGAGAGCCCAAAACAAGAGAGCAGCAGCACAACCATCACAAAAAAATAATCAAAATCCACACGTGAATGTTGTCAGCGCAAATCAATTTTACAAGTTGAAAAACCGCGCGAATTTTGATCCACAACACTATTTATGGTCTAAACATAGAAAAAACGGGTTTATCACAATCAGGGTATGCACACATGCAATGTAGGGAAGAATTTTCAAGACACATCGGAAAAGCATTACAATATTTCAATTCGAAAAAAATCTTAGATACTTCAACATTACCCACCACTGCAAACTTATGAGTAAAAGGATTGGCATTATACCTAAAATCTCAGTAGGTTTTACGGGTTTGCAGTACAGTTGGTCTGAACTAGTCCAACTTCTTTATTTTTCACATCCTAAGGCACTTCATGTTGATCCCAAACAAAACTGTTACGCACTAAAATCTTCACCGACAGATCACACGTTTCACTTTCCCTTTGCAAGCACCCGCTTCCGACACTTATTTCTAGGGATAACGTATAGGTGGTCCAGGAGGCAGCGACATTCTTCATGCACTCAATTCTATAAAGCTGATCGTCTGCCACGTTATTGTTTTGATAGTACAAGCATTGAATAAGTTTATTCAATGGTACAAGTAAAAAAACCGCAGTCTACCGCGTCGGCGGTGTTGCCTACATTTGCAACAATGTTCTTAACATGTTAATAAATAATATGTTGTACAGTACATGCCTTATATCTACAAGAATGAAAATGTTTACAGTAACTATGTATACCTAAAAATGAAGTATGGTAATAGTCTACCGAGCTGGCAGCGTTGCTATCACAAGTCTACCACCCACGCTAGTTGCATAAAAAATTGTCATAAGACACCAAAAACAAGTATAGATAGTGCACTACTCTTGTGCAGATAAAGCGCATTTTTTAAACCGAAATAGCTTAGTAAATGGTTGGGTTATAAGATAGTAACGTGCTATCGATGTTTACTTTCTTGGTAGATGATTAATGGAGAGGAAGTTCTTTACACATAAACATTTAAAGACAGCCTGGGCATACATTCAAAATCCTCCGACCCCCCATTATGCAGATATTTGCAATGAAAGCTTTGACACACCAAAAGATATGTTTCTGACCTCTGAAGTTCTACTTGCCTTTTATGAGTATCCTCTTCCGACACTTCGTGGTGAAGGTATTTGCACAGCTTACTTACTATCCAGCTGCACAACTCTCTTGGCGGGAGCGGTTTGCGCCGATCTACGCGCGCAGCGCTTATGTTCCGCCTCTTGGGGTAAGAGACTGCATTGCCTGTTTGGCGTGCAATCAAGCCCAGTGTTGCCACGTTGGCCATTGTCCCGAATTCAATTCAATTAGGCAATAAAATGTATTAAACACCTAACCCTAGTTTCATTGCAATATTACGTAATATTGTACAGCAAATTCTAAACGTTCACATTACAATACAGCTCAAAAATCACCTACTACGGTACTGTGAAGCGACCGCGCGATGAAAATACGTTTAATCCGGCCCCGACTTTTACCCCAAGCGCAAGAAGGAGGGCACCATTCCATCTCGCTTGGTTGTAGACCGCCAGATCAAAGGCGCCGCTCAAGAGTTGCGGAGCTGGATAGTAAGTAAGCTGTGGTATTTGTTTTGACTTCACCAGACACTAATAGATACGTCTCGTCAAGTCGACTTATTTTACCCTAGGTACCCTCTTCCGACAATCCGTTCTGGAGATATAAGGGAATATATACCAGATCACGATAAGGGGTCGAGGAGGAGGACTATGGTTGTTGTAGAAATTAATTCCTTTCGTCGAGACCTTTCATTAGAGTACCTGAAGGATAAAACCAGTTCCAGTTTCGGACGAACGGACCGACAAAACGTAAACAATAGCACATTTTTTTAATTTCTTACATAATGCGCTAAAAATTGGCCTACCCTTCGCGTAATATTGCTGAGGTCTCGGTAGACATGCTGGAAGGTACGGTTTCCCGAGCGCAACTGCTGCACCGCTCTGCGAAAATTACCTCTACCTCTACATACAAATACAGGCAATTAACATGGAAAATAGTTTTTTTGCAGATCGTTGCTCTTCATGTTAACTTCATTATTCAAGTCGAAATCAATATCAATATCAGTATGACAACTGTCAATAATTTTTTTAGCGCATTTTTTAAGAATTAAAAAAAATGTGCTATTGTTTGCGCTTTGTCCGTCCGTCCGTCCGGACCCACTTCTCTACCGTTTTGAACTACTTCTAGGGGAAGTAGGTAGCCTATACCTTGAAGGTGTGCCAGACAGCCATCAAATTTCGCTGTCTAAAAGGCCCCCCCCTCCCCACGAATTATTTTCTGAGATGCTGTTCTTAGTAAAACGTGCATAACTTTTACATACGACAACCAATAGGTCTCATATTTTGCATACGCATGCCTTTAGTGGTTCCAAGTTAAACGTTATATGGTGGGGGGGGGGGGTTAAACACATGTTTTATCCTTCATGGTATTCTAATGAAAGGTCTCAACAAAAGGAATTAATTTATACTAACTTCACAACATTTAATTATTACTATCAACAAAATACATTAGATGCAAGAGAGCGGTTAAAGTAAAGTTTAAATTTACCGCGCACAATTAAGCGCATCGGAACAAAATGTCTGACAGCTTAGCGCCATTGTGAGATTGTGACACCCCGGAGCTAAAATGGTCAAACACAAATACCCTATGTATAACTAACGTTACATAGCGGAGCAAAATGGCCAAACACGAACACTCTATGTATAACCAAAGCGTATTATAGTTACTCTTTGGTATAACTATACTATCACTACCCCTGTGTATATAATTTCAAATATACCGACAAACAGACAACCGGAAAATCAAAAAGTCAAATCTCCCACGCAAATTCAAAAATTCAAATCTCCCGCACAAATTCAAACTTACCGCCTCAGCCACGTAATGCGACGTCAGAGGGACTCGTGCATCGGGACCGAAGGTTGCATTTTTCACCACTCGTTTCTAATCATTTTGAACGACTTTTTGTACTAAGCAAAACACTTGCTGAGGAAAAGTAGGTACCGATCTACTGCAACATCAAGGTATGTACATCCAAGATTTGTACGAACTCATCAGTCATCAAGTCTGAATCAGTTAACTTGTTTTAGTTTTATTGGAATCTACGAGGGAATCTACTACCCTCAAAAGGAACCTATTTGTCTAATTCTTGAACTACTAGATGAGAAGGTTAAACTACGACTATTTTTAATTTGGTGTTTTTACTAGAGGGTATGTTTACG